CACTCTCCTCCTTTTGGGACCCCTGTAATGTGAATATTTATTTGCTTGGTATCGTCCTTTCAGTCCCTTAAGCCATCTTCATTCTTTCACTTTTTGCTGCTCTGATTGAATGAAATCTGCCCTGTCTTTGAGTTCAGGGATCCATTCTTTTTTTTTTTTTTTTAAGATTTTTTATTATTATTATTTATTTATTTGACACAGAGAAAGACAGCAAGAGAGGGAACACAAGCAAGGGGAATGGGGAAGGGAGAAGCAGGCTTCCCGCTGAGCAGGGAGCCCGAAGCAGGGCTTGATCCCAGGACCCCAGGATCATGACCTGACTGGAAGGCAGACACTTAATGACTGAGCCACCCAGGCACCCCAGGGATCCATTCTTTTGCTTCATCCAGTCTGCTATAGAACCTGTCTATTATGTTTTTCAGTTCAATTATTATACTCTTCAACTCTGTGACTTCTACTTGGTACTTTCTTATAGTTTCTATTTGTTGAAACTCTGACTTTGTTCATACATTGTTTTGCTGACCTTGGTGAGCATCATTATGACTGCTATTTTGAACTCACTTATCTCTTTCATTAAGGTCTTTTTTTTTGAGATTTTATCTTTTTCTCTCATTTAGAACATACTCCTCTGTTTTTTAAAAAATTTTTTTACTCTTCTGTGTTTGTTTCTATGCATTAGATAAACAGCCCCCTCTCCCAGTCTTGAAGGAGTGGCCTCATGTAGGAGATGAACTTTCTTAACTACTTTATTTTATTTTATTTTATTTTTTTAAGATTTTATTTATTTGACAGAGAGAGACACAGCAAGAGAGGGAACACAAGCAGGGGGAGTGGGAGAGGGAGAAGCAGGCTTCCTGCTGAGCAGGGAGCCCGATGCGGGGCTCAATCCCAGGACCCTGGGATCATGACCTGAGCCGAAGGCAGATGCTTAACGACTGAGCCACCCAGGTGCCCCTTAACTACTTTTTTTTAAAAGGTGTTGAGAGACAGTATCACTAAATTTCATTCAAAGAATCCATCCCCCCTCCCTGCAAAAAAAAGAATGTGTTCCCCTTGTTAATGCTTTCTAGATGCCATTATTACCTTACCTGTTAAGTGTGCATGTTCTTTATTGCTATTTCTAATGATAGTAGCACTTTTATCTTACCTTTGTTATAGTTACATTATTTCAAGAATAGTGTATTTGTATTAATAGAATCATAACAGTATGGAGCCTTTTATCTGTTTATCTTTAAATTTAAATAAATTTAAAGTGATTGACTTTACCTAGTTTCTAGATCATTGAAATATGTACAATAAAATTTTAACCAAAAAAATTTCAGAAGAACTTTTTTTAAAAAGTTTTTTGTTGTTGTTCTCTTGTTTGATTTATTTAACTAGACACAATAAATTTAACACCTGTAGCACAAATCCTATTATAATAAAGATAAAGGCAGGTTAGTAGTCTAGTATATAAAAATTGGAGAAAATACCTTATTAGAAATTCTTCTATCTTATAATTTAGGGATAAGTTTAATTTCATTTGTGATATTTAACTTAAAGTTTATTTTGAAGACATGTAAAATGTTTTTGAAAAATTGTATCATATTTCAAAAAAGGGGGTTTGTTTCTTTCCTAGAATTCTCTACCAGTACTTGTCTTAGTGATCTTACCCAGTCTCATGGCTTTACATATAATGTGTGTGCTCGCTCCTCCCTAACTTCTTCCAGCTCATAATTCTCCCCTGACCTTACAACTTGTATACCCAGCTGCCTACTCAACAGCACCACTTGACATATCAGACATAATATGTCCAAATTGAATTTCTCACCCTCCCCAAACAGAAAATAGTAAAACCTGCTCTACCCTCCATGTTTTCCTTCTTTATTAATGGCCATCTCTCCTTCCATTTACTCATTCCAGAAATGTTAGACTTATCCTTGATTCTCTTCTGCCTCACATTTGTGAACAAATCTTACTACCTTCAAAATATATCTAGCATCTGACTCGTTCTCCCAACCTCTGTTGTGTTTCTACCCTGGTCCACCCCATCTTTATTCTTTATATGGATGATTTCTGCCTGCTTCCATCCTTGCTTGCCTACAGTCTATTCTCGTTAGCCTGAGGGACCTATCAAACAAAAACCAGATCATGTTTCTTCTCAGAACCTTTCAGTGGTTCCTCATTTTTTCCAAAGTAAAAATCAAAGTTTTTACACTGGCTCATGAGGCCTTACACAATCTGTTCTCTGTGCCGCCCGCCTTCTCTGACTTCATCTTTTTCTATTTTCTGCCACCCTAGCTCTCTTGCTTTTTCTCAAACACAGAAGACACCATCTGCCTCAGAACTTCTGCACTGACTGAAACACTCTGTAGATATCTTATGAGATGTAATCTTTCACCTCCTTCAAGACATTGCTCAAATGTCTCCTTTTTCCATGAGCCTGTACTTTACCCCATTTGAGATCCAGCCTCTTCTCCCTTGCCATGCTCTATTTGTTCTCCAAAGAGCTTTATTTACCTCCTAGTAAAAGTTATGAAAGGACCAGCAGTTTTGACTTTTTTTCACTGATGCATTGTCCAGTGCACAGACTGTGCTTGGCTATAATTTTTGCTGAATGAATAATTGCATGAAGGAATTTTAGTGAAACTCTTGTATGGTGTGTGTATGCATGCACACATGCATGTGCATGTATGGGGGGTTCTGTGTGTTTATATAGTAAAATAATATAAGTTAACATAAGTTTTCAATCAAAATATTTTCTCTTAAATTGGGTTTGGGTAGTATAAAATTGTTGGCTAAGACACATCTGTCTTTCCTTCATTTGAGCTATTTTGTATATGGGACAAAAGACAGCAATTTCTAGATATTTAGATCAAAGCAACAAATGTTTTTAAAACCATTTTTCAGCTTCAAGAATGATTGTGATAAATATCTGTGGGTTAGTAACTTAGAATTTTTTAAGAACATGATTATTAACTGGAAATTTAAAGAGATAATATAGACATCTGAAAATTAAAGTTTTTAATTTTAGTAATCCCATTCTAAGCTTCATAGAAATTTTCCTTTCTCTTTTTTTCTTAAACTTTAAACATAGGATTTTTCATACAATTTAGAATAAAGAAATAATCTTTTAGGTGGAATGTTATGTCAGACAACTATGGCACTCATACCCTCGTACTATTCTAGAAATTGTACAGCATATGGAACTTTTAGGATAAGCTTATCTGTGAACTGCTTCCCCTATTAAAGAACTAATTCATAAGTACCCTTGTACCCAACCAACATAACATCTTAAGCTTGATGTATTTCCCAAATCTAAATCCAGATTTTTTCCTGTGACAAATAGCACTACTGCCTTATTCTGACTTATTCTGATGGAGAACATTTCCCGTTTCTTCACTGATTCAAATTTAGTCTTATATACAAACATTTGCTAGCTAATTATTAGTCACATTCATTATGACTCTGAATTGGTAAAAATATAAAACACTAGAATTTTCTAAAGAATTCTATTACAGCATTGTGAAAATACCTCTCGGTCAGTTTTCATCGTTAAAATGTTAGATTTAGAGTAATTAATCTGTGGTGCCTTTCTTCCACAGTTCTGATAAAATAAACAGTCACAAATGTTAAGAAAATTTAGGATGAATTCTAGATTCCAGTCAATCGTGTTGAGCCAGTATGCACAGATCTTCAACTAGGTGAATAAATCCCTATATATCCTTTAGTCAAATAGGGTTTTTGATTCATTCACATGCAGTTACAAAGGAATTTCAGAATCCAGAAATATACATACTTAGAAAGCCCATGTGACTTTGTGCTATGAGATTAAATTTTGTGGAGTATAAAGTTTATCCTGGAAGGAAATATATACTTGTTACAGAGCTTAATTCATTTGTATCCAACTTGCGAGTTATTAAATGTAAAGTTTTTTATAGAGTTTAGCAAACAAATGCAAGAGCTACTTGGTTGAGTATCTGTTTCTGAGAAAACTGTTTTCTATTTACAGTCTTATCTCAACCCATGGTGACAGCTATCTTCTCTTATTCTAGGGAGAGAGAATGTGAGGGGGAGAAAAACCTTCCTAGTGGATGGTATGCTATTTCAGTAGTCAGCATTCTGAAGTAGTTTCAGAATTGAGACTAAATAAACACTACATCAAAAACTAATGATGTACTACTGTAATGGTGACTGACATAACATAATAATAAGTAAAATAAAATTTAAAATAAATAAATAAATACAGTCCTGAGGGGGAAATAAATCTCTTGTTATATGTTTATTGATCTTGTGATTTCACAAAATGAAAAAATCTTGATTGAAACACCTAGAAATCACTGATAACTACAGAGTTTATGACAAGTTTTTCTTTGGTGTGTAGCTGAAAACCAGACTTAAGAGCTGAAATGGCCCGAGTACTCAAGATATCCTATATACTGCTTTGGTGCACTCAGGATTTTCTTACAATAGTATCTTGTTCTGGATAATTTGTGATTTTATACTCGAGTTAAGAGATTCATTTATTAAGGTTTCATAATAAACCTTTGGCCTGAATTCAACATCGTAACTACTGCTTGGAATACCGTACACTGAGAGAAGTGTGTTTAGCTGTGTTTCAAATGATAGAAAATGTGGGGATGGTCTTACAATCTTATTATAAATAGTTTTGTCCTATTAACCATAAGAAAAAAAGGGGGAAGTATAGATTTGCTAATACACTCTGAATGCATAAACAAAAAAATTAATAAAATAAGAACTGTTCGTAACATAGCATTAAACAGCAGCTTAACATGTTTTTCCCAGATTAAAAACTTTCTTGGTAAAGGTGGGTATTTGTTTTTCCCTTTGCTGACATCCACTCTAGAGCAATATGGGTTGATTTAAAAGTGAAGACTTCATCTTCCAAGGGGTAGGGAGGACAGATCCAAAGTATTCAGAGTCCATATTCCTAGTTACCTCTCTGCATTTAGCTTTTAGCATTAACAACATGCTTTGCTTTCCAATTCTCTCTATTCTAGTCTATGCAAGGGAAACTTTCTAAAGAAAAATCAGCTACTCAAAAGATGATGGAAGAGCTGGAAAAGAAAGAAAGAAACCTACAGAGATTAACAAAAACATTGCTTGATGTGAGTAGAAAAAATTCAAATTGTTTTCAAAGAACGATACAGTACTTATTCAAGTTAAATATTCATAGAACATTTTTTAGTTGAAGATTTGATTTTGGTGTGCCAATTAAATCCATTAGGTTTCTTACAAAATTTTAATTAAAAGGCAAACTTTTATTTTCCTTATGTCTCAGAATATAATTTCACAGACTTAACTGCAACACAGTCAAATATTATATAGAGATTAGGTCCCAGAGTAATACAGTAAAGCATAAATTGAACATAAATAAAATTACCTTTGGAAATCCTTAAGGAAGTTGCAGTGTTGACACTTCATCATTGGAACAGGTCACACTTTCTTCATTTAATTACAAGATGACACACTTGACTTGCATTTAAGGATATGTTTTACAAAAAAAAAAAAAAATACTTATGGTAGTTTTTTAACTCTCATCATGACATTTTGCCTCTAAATACCCAGAATGCATCTCCAAAAATTAGGGACATTTCTCATATAACTACCACCATTGTCAAACCCAATAAGAATAATATTCCTCAATATTTGATAATACCTCGTCTGTACCCAAAATTTCCCCACTTCTTTCCCAGATGCTTTTTATGACAGTTGAAACCAACATTCAATCAAAGACCAGTAAGTTGAGTTTCATTTTGTCATATAAAATTTCTCACTTTTTCCATGTTAGTGACTTGTTGACAAATCTGGGCCTGTTGTCTTAAAGACTTATAGATAATCAGGCCTTCTGGATTTGTCTGATTGCTTTCTTATGGTGTCATTTATCTTGTTCTCTACCCCCTCTATCTCTTATACCTAAAAGTAAGAGCTAAAGATACCATGAAGTCAAGTCAAACGTTTTTTGGCATGAAGACTTTGTAGGTGTTGTTCATGTCATCAAATTATTTATGTTTGGTTATCCCACTGTAAGTGACAGAAATACTGATCTCACTGGGTTAAAATGGTAACAGACTAATTTTTTCCATTGTCACATTATGGCCTCTGCAAATAGCAGGTAATCTGTGGAATGATACTTAGGTAACTGAATATGCAGTTTATCAGTACCCTTTCCCTTGATGGTTTTAGTATTCACTGATGATCATTGTCTATGTAATGACATGTAATGACATGATTAAAAGAATCATATTTTTTTCTAATTATTTTTACATTTATTAGCTGGCATTCATCTATTAAAAAAATCTTTTCCTCATCAATGCAGGCTGGTTATTTTGAAATCCAGTTCCAACTGGAAGGCTAATTAAATTGCCTCTAGCAGTTTTCAGAATGAGAAGTAGATGGTGACAGTTTTGGGGATGAAGTGAAGGTAGATTTTTCTGAGTGTAATAAATTATGAGTTCATATTGATACTTCCAATTCAAATTTCACAATTCAAAATTGTTAGGGTTTTTTTCCTTTCTTTGATTTTATACTTGCTTTTCTTTTTCTCTTATGCTGAAAATTTTGGTTCCTATCAACATTAATATAATGTAGATACTTTTTTCTCAGTATGCAACAGATAGTTTCAAAGTAACTAAATCATTATTGCTACTAACGGTAAAACTACAGGATGAGGTTTAAAATTTCTTCATAGTTCTTTCTGTTCTTGGGATAAATTTCATTATAGAAGAATACATATATAACCAAGATGCTTATTATGTGACATTATGTGGCATGAGATACTCCTAGAAAGTGAGTCTGGATTTGTTGCCCCTTTCAGATCTACCCTAGGGCATGAGATGACACAGAGGAATCACTGAATCATTTCATTTCCACTATTTTAAATTCCTTTTTTTTTCCCCCACTGTGTGTATGCGGTTAAATTTGGTTAATGTGTATGTAATACGACTCCACCGTTTTGTTTATAAATGGGGGGTAATGTTCAGACAACTGCATGACTTTGAGTACCCTTTCTCTGTTCTAACAACCTGATTTATGTTTTCTTTATCCTTTGCAGAACCAAAGGCAAACAGAAGAGACGTGCTCTTTATTGGATCAGGGCCAGGAAGCAGACCAATCCAGGCAGCAGACAGTACTTACCAAATGGCCACTATCTGATTTGAGTGTGATTGATCAGCTGTTCAAGGAAATGTCCTATTGTTTGTTTGACTTGAAGGCATTGTGTAGTATTCTCAATCAGCGTGCTCAGGGCAAGGAGCCTAATCTTTCATTATTACTGGGAATCAGATGTAAGTCGCTGATGCCTTGTCCTTACTATATTGCTTAGCAATTAGAAACCTGTCTTCATGAATCAGGAACCTCTTACTGCCTTTTCCTTATTTGTTTTTATCTCCTTTCCTACTTAGATTTATAAATCTCTGAATAAATCTGTAGGTCTGTGAATACCTGTTATTACTTCATTGCTAGAACTTACCTCATACTTAGAGAAGTGAGCAGGGTCATAGTTGATACGGACTGCCACCTGGCAGAATGCCTACAGATCTACCTGTGTGGATGAGCTATGTAATCTGTTAATATGTGACTGGAGTGGTAGTTAGGTGTGATATTCCTGATTACTCTTCTAAAAGTAATGATTCTATTGGCTTTTGTGTGTTAAATGTAGAAGTTAATGATCCAGCATCTGTCTGCTGGTAAAATATTTGAGGGAAGCTACTCCTTTGCTTTCCCTATACAGTGTATGTCTGTGGCAGTTGCTTAATATAAGTACCAGTGGTGGGGTGCCTGGGTGGCTCAGTCGGTTAAGTATCTGCCTTCGGCTCAGGTCATGATCCCTTCCTGGGATCGAGCCCCACGTCAGGCTCCCAGCTCAGCGGGGAGTCTGCTTCTCCCTCTCCCTCTGCCTCTCCCCCTGCTTGTGTGCTCTCCATCAAATGAATAAATAAAATCTTTTAATATATATATAACTACCCGTGCTGTCACAAGAGCTAATTTTCATGGCCTATAGATCTGTTGCCCTTGTCATGCATATACACTCTGGCCTTGTCTCTTTCAATATGACACCCACCCATTGTTCCTCAGTTCCATATTCTTCCACACATAGTTGTGAGAGCTGCCACAGGAATATCCTAGTTTCCCTTCTGTGCTGCTTTTGCAGAAACACACATCTCTGCATGTGGTTCTAAATTACTATAATATTGATACGTTGGTCTCTTTTTAATACAGAAGAAACGGGCATAAGTAAGGAGATATGATTGGAGTAAGACCGTAAGGTTTATGTACCTACTATGTTGTATTGAGTAATAGCCTAATAATATGGTTAATATGTGACTAGAGTGGACACTAGTTTTATTTAGTTTCATCAAAAAGATTCTACCATCTGGCGTCATGATAGTTATTTTGGCAAAACCAAGAATACTTTCCATCAAAGCATAGCCCTTGTTAAATGAAACATGTAACTGTGCTCGGAGATGTCAGATATGTGTATACATATGTGTGGGCATGTAAGAAACACTTTAAAGTGTAAGTATATTGACTTAGTAAGTAATTATTAAATGCTTTATGTAGTCCAGATACTAAGGTGCGGATAATGCAGTTGAGCACAGCCGTTGGCCCACACACAAACGAAATTACTAGAGCATTGTGATAAGTACTATAATTGAGATGTGGGCGGAGGACAATGGGGGCCCAAGGGGAAAACTAACTAAATGGGAAGGGCTGTGAAGGCTCTGGTGTTCGGCTTGAATCTTAGAGTCAGAGAGGTTTGCCAGGTCAACACGGGGTGGTTTAGTTAGCAGTAAAAGCTCACACACAAAAGACTCATTCTCTTCGCCATTTTAGAGGTGGTCACCCCTTCAGTTATTTTGTAACCTTCTGCATTTGTATTCTTCTACATATAGTATTTGTCAACTTTTCCAGTAATTAGATTAAGAGAACTATCCAAACGTGAATAAAAAGAGAGATTCAAGAACTTTGTCACATTCACCTCCCAATGTATACCCCTTCCAGTCTTTCAAGTTTAACCCCATAATCCTTACCTTATATCCTGGTACTGTGAAAATTTGACCAGCTAGCTAATTTGTCAAAAACCAGTGGATTATTTTGAATCCCTGTCTCCTCACTCCATCCATTGCTCATTGACACTGTTCACCCCACCCTTGTTTTTTAAAATGCTCTGCTACCACAGTTTCCATGGCTTCGTTCTCTAGGTTCTACTTCTGCCTTTATGACTGCTGAGTCAGTCTTCTCTGGAATTCTCTGCCATTTAAATTATTAGTGTCTCCCAGAAATCTTTTGTTGCTGATTTTTTTTTTGTTTCTTTTTTAAATTGGATTATTTGTGGGTTTTTTATTATTGTGTTGTATAAGTTCTTTATATATTTTGAATATTCATCCTTTATCCAATATATCATTTGCAAATATCTTCTCTCATCCTATAGATTGTCTTTTTGTTTTGCTGATAGTTTTTGTTTTGCTGTGCAAAAGCTTTTTATTTTGGTATAATCCCAATAGTTTGGTTTTACTTTTGTTTCCTTTGCCCGAGAAGACCTGTCTAGAAAAATGTTTCTATGGCTGATGTCAAAGAAATTACTGCCTGTGTTTTCTTCCAGGAGTTTTATGGTTTCAGATCTCATATTTAGGTCTTTAATCCATTTTGAGTTTATTTTTGTGTATGGTCTAAGAAAGCAGTCCAGTTTTATTCTTCTGCATGTAGCTGTCCAATTTCCCCAACACCATTTGTTGAGTGGACCAAAGACCATTTGTCTTCTCCCCATTGTATATTTTTACTTCCATTGCCAAAGATTGACCATATAAGCATGAATTTATTTCTGGACTCTCTGTTCTCTTGATCTATGTGTCTGTTTTTCTACCAGTACCATGCTGTTTTGATTACTACAGCTTTGTAGTATGTCTTATAATCTGGGATTACAATACCTCCAGCTTTGTTGTATTTGAAGATTGCTTTGGCTATTTGAGGTCTTTTGTGGTTCCATACAAATTTTAGGATTTTTTCACAACATTTGTGAAAAGCGTTGGTATTTTGACAGGAATTACATTAAGTCTGTAGATTACTTTGGGTAGTATGGATATTTTAACAATATTACTTCTTCCAGTCCATGAGCTCAGCATATCTTTCCATTTGTTGGTGTTGTCTTCAGTTTCTTTCATCCATGTTTTATAGTTTAGGGCATACAGGTCTTTCACCTCCTTGGTTAAGTATATTCCTAGGTATTGTATTCTTTTTGGTGCAACTGTAAATGGGATTGTTTTTTTAATTTCTCTTTCTGCTACTTCACTCTTAGTGTATAGAAATGCAGCAGGTTTCTTTATACTTGTATAATTTGTGTCCTGTGACTTTACTGAATTCATTTATCAGTTCTTTGGTAGTCTTCAGGGTTTTCTGCAAATAGTGTCATCTGCAAACAGTGAAAGTTTTATTTATTCCTCAAAAATTTGGATGCTTTTGCCTCTCTTTTTATATATTTTCTCTCAGTAATCTTAGCCAAGTCCTTTTGTTTTCTGTTAGTGCATACAGACATTTATCTCTTACCCTGCCTAGAATGTCCCTTCTGGGCTCTTGATTATACTTACCTTATATTAGAACCAGTTATTCAATAGGCATCATAGACTCAACTATATCTAAAAGAGAACCTACCTTTCTTCCCTCCCTAAACCTGCTCCTCCTGTCAGTGAGTAGCACCTCTATCCACCTGTCACACTAATCCAGATTTTTTTCCACCCTACTCTTTCCTTCATCTGGGTATGTCGTTTGCCTAGTCCCTAACCCCTATACAACTCATGATGGTTGAGCTCTTATCATTTCTACCAGTCCCTTCCTAGCATTCATTCCTCCCATTACATCTCCACTGCCCTATTGCCTTAAATCAAGCTTTCAAAGTCTTCACCTGGACTGGTCTCTTTGTCAACTGTCTTGCCCACTTTCCCCCACTAATCCAAATTTTTTCACATTGCTGCCAGAGTGATCTAATCTAATGGTGATTCTGATTTCCTAATACTTACAGTCCCCTAAAATAGAGATAGGTAGTTCCCACCTGCCTCTTTAGCCTTATTTCTTGACCCTTGCCTTTCATAATTTGTACTCTGCCATTTTAGAGCTTGTTACTCATTTTCTTGAAGTTTCTCAGATTCTTTGGTTTTCTGCTTTTGTACCTTTATTCATTCTGCATCCTTGGCCCATCCAGTGAACCTGTGCCCTCTCTAGTTAGGCTGGTTGTTCTCTTCCTTGTGCCATTGTAGCCTGTGTGCGGTGGTAGGACACCTACAATACTTGACTGTGCTTGTTTGTGAAGTATATGTAAATCATTAATAAACTACTACATCCATTATTTTGCTGGCCTTAGCATCTAGCGTAGTGCCTGGATCATAGCAGGTGTTCAGTTAGTGTTTGTTAAAATAACATATAAGTTAATCTGAGTCTTACACCTCCAGTAAGCTACCAATGCCAGTGAAGGTATAAGGAAAGATTTATTTTACAATTACTGGCTCCATCTGCTTTTATGTTGAGATGTGCTGACAAAGAGAGGAACTGATGTAAATAATTACAAGCCAACTGCCTCAGGGCCTCACCCTCGGTCATTCAGCCATTGGGCAGCTAGCCATCAGCCCAGTTCAGTTGCGTAGGGTTGTAGTGGTCCGTACACACACACACACACACACAACCCATATGTTTTGGATATTTATGCTTTCATGCCCATAAACCCATTTTGCAGTCTATAAAAATTTAAGCTATCACTCCTTAATACAGAAATGATTTTCAGATTTTTATCAAGTCAGAATGAGTGCTGTAGTTGAGCTTGAAGAGAGCTATTAGAGCATGCTTCTTCCTACTTTTGGAATGTTGTCATCCTTTAAACATGTTAAACGTGTGTGTATTACTGTATGGATTTAATGCAATTTAATTAGCAAAAATTTAAAAGAACAAGTAAATAAGATCTATTTAATACTGAATGATACATCATGTAAATCTGAACCTGACTGGTATTCAGCATACAGCATTGTATTTCTAATGATACTGAAGTTAAAAATCCTAAAATGCCTTTGTTCAAAAGAAGTGTGAGACATTCTCCATATTTTATTTCCACAGCAATGAACTGTTCAGCTGAAGAGACTGAGAATGACTATAGCCCAGAAACACTCACTAAAAAATTGTCAGACGTATGCCAGTTACGGAGGGACATCGATGAATTAAGGACTACAATATCAGACCGCTATGCCCAGGACATGGGAGACAACTGCATTACCCAGTGATCAACTATTGGTCCCACAGCAATAATGACCCATTGTTAAATGCTGCTGTGTTACAGTTCTTCATATTTCTTTTTAGGAGCCATAATGGAAAGTCGCAAGTGACATATCACTTACACATAGGATTTTTTTTTTCTGTGGATTTGTTTTACTGGGGGAGAAAGGGGATTTGATGAGGTTTCAAAGGGGCTTATCTAATCAGGCCAAAAAACCAAATTACTATTAGAAAAATGTGATGAAGTGTATAAGGGGGAAAAAAAAAATCTGTCTTCTCAAACTACTGATTGTAGGACCAAGCTGTGAAGAGTGCCCTTCAGATAAAGGAGTAGGATTTCTTTTTATCTGCAGTTGTGTGTGTGTGTATGTGTGTGTGTGTGTGTGTATTCACAAAATTATAAGGATTTCTAAGGTCAAAGCAAAGCTTCTAAGAAAGGCACACACTGTTTATTCTTGTATTTCTTTTCTTTCATGTAGAAGCTTGTGTTGTACTTTGGGGTTTTCAAGGGCTGGCTGCACAAGAGCTCCAACAGCAGGCGAGTGTTTTAATAGTAGTACAGCTGTCTTTTGAACCATCTGTCTTTCAGACAACCACTGTGCTGAGATGATGAGGTTGTGGGGTTGGGTTGATGTTAGCACTGTAGATAGGTCAGCTATTTTTCCAGAGTGATTGTGGGTTGCCTTCGAGGTATGAAATGTTATGTGATAATCTTTTTCATTAGCATTGCAATTTATATATCACAAGGCAACTTAACACAACTTGAACTAATTTTAACATGTCCCTTACTATTTACAATTTTTCACTTGTATCAATGTAAACAAAGCCATAAAGAATTAATGCTAACCTTCTAAGGCCATTGTAAAAGAAGGATTAAAAAAGTCACTCTGGAACAATAGTTTATTTATCCAATTCTCAAATGTTTACATTTTAACAGTTTTGTATGTCTTAAAGTTAAAACTACTTTAAGAAAAAGCCAACCTGTATTCTTTATATCAGAATTATCACAAATATAAAACAAAATCAAAACCAGGTGATATTTCAATTACATGTATTAGGTAAAGTACATTAAAAACAGGGTTTTTCATACAAGACAAGATTATTTCTTCTTCTGGAGTGCAGGATATCATTATGAGATGCAACTGATTTTTAAGTAGACATACAATTATTTAAACTTCCAAATGAGTATTTTCCTGTTTTAGTTGGAGGTTTGGAAAGACTACATATTTTATTGCCTTCAGAGCATTTATTACATTCTTTTGAATATACTTAATTATGGCAATCATTGTTCTTTACAAACTGGTTTGTTTTCTTGATGCAGCCAGGTCTCATGTAGGTCAAGACTAAATAAGAGGTGGAAGGAATAAGGGGTGTGAATTCAGCAGGATAATACTGTTTGGGGCAAGAAGAGATCACATGTCTGGTTTTTTTGCCAGGCTTATATACTGGCATAAAGGCTGCTCCTAGAAAAGATTTTTCTTAAATATTTTCGGCAGTGAAAACATATGTGGGATAAAAACTTCAAGGAAACTACCCAGGAAGACATTCAGTTCAGAATTTGGCTAATATGCAGCACTCAGTAAGTTATTTTGTGGTTGTGTTACAACAATTGGTTATAATACATTGTAAGGACATCAAACTTTCCTTTTGTTCAGTGCCTGAGTCCTCCCTACTCTTACTGCTTAGGATCTGGGCGCTAAGAAATCAGTGCATTATGTGATTCTGCATTCCAAATACCTATCCTAATAAGGAAAAGTCATCGTAAGAATGTGGCATTCTAATTTGTTCAATTGTTTTTTAATGTTGGTGGTTTGAAGACAATCAGGGAGTAGTAAATTTATACCAAAAATCTGATGCAAAAGAATTCTGCCTTGTAAAAATATCTGTAAAAATGGGCCTTTATAGTAAGTAGATAATAGCATCTGAACGAGATAAGCCACGGTGCAGCACACAACATTGTTCTGTTCTCTCTGAATAGAAACTCCAGCCCCCTACCAGAGTACCTAGTCATACCTCCACAATTTTGGAAGTACAGGCACCCTAAGATGATAGCACTAAGGTGCATAAATAATCACTGATTTGGGTCACTAGGTTCTTAATGCCTTCTAGGTTTTTAGTATATGTTTTGGAGTTTTATGGTTATTATTATTATTTTAAACAAACTTAAACATTTGCTTTAATTTACTGTAGATACATATTTTTTTCTGGCTTAGGATAAAATATTTAATTTTTTAAATAAGGTTTCTAAAACTTACAGAATTTGACTTAATTCACATGTCTTGAGGTAAAAATGTGTTAATTTAGAAAATTGACAAACTACTACTGGTGTATTTCAGTTCCAAAATGTCTACCTCTCCATAAATAAAAAAGGAAAATAAGATGTGATAGTGTAAGTATAAGTTTAAATATAACCCTGAGTTACAAAAGTACAAAAGTAATCTCTTGAAGTCTGGAGTTTGTGAAGGGACCTAGGTAATAAGTAGACAGTCTTGGAATATTTTTGGGGAAATGAAATAGTAGTATTCTAATTTGTCAGTATTTAGTTTTTATTTTATTTTTCAGAAAATTCCCCTTTCCCAAGATAACCTCTTCTGTTAGAATATAATAATATCGATATCTCAATTGAAAACAAAGATTTTACTGTTAGGTCAAGTAAGATGGGCAAATAGAAACACTATAGTGTCTTATTCTAGTTTGAACTAGGATGTTTTCAGAAGTTATTATACTGATATATGTCTGAGATGAAAATTAACCTAAATTTTGAAGTTTAAACGTATTTGATAATTTCCTTAGATGTGAAAACTTTTTAATTATGCTTTTGTAAGTTCAATGCTTGTCTTCTTAGGAAGTGTCTCATGCAGTATTAACATTTATTATTGGTCTTCTGGATTTTGAAGTTGAGCTTATTCGAGCAGGGATAAAGTAACAGTATCTCAATAAAAGACCCAGTTACCTGTGCAGATAAAAATAACTGAATCAAAGGCACAATAGTTAGTTGTTTTTTTCATTTGATGTCTGAAGGATGACTTTAGTTAAACTGTTAGTAAATTTTCAGTGGCCTCTAATTTTGAAAGCTTAAGTAGTGACTAGGTTAAGTCATTCCTGGATTTCTTTTTAAATAAGTGTGGTCCCTTTTTATATTTGAAATGGGATTCAGTGTTTACTATTAACAACATTATTTTTAATGAAATTTATTTTGGTCATGACAGTTAACTCACTGAATTAGACTTCTTTCAGTAGCTTGTTAAAGACAATCTCAAGGGCTGCAAAGTGTTGCTAAAATGGATATTGTACATTTCTGATTCAGTAAGGAGCTTATAAATTAATCTTGTCATAGTTCAAGACATTACTAGAAATCTCTTCGAGGATATTTTTAAAGGAACTACTTTATTGGGAAAATGTTCTTTCAATATCAGTAATAATTCATTGAATAACTTAGTAGCTGGGAATTTGGGACTGTATTTTTACATAGCATAGCTCAGCTCAGGCACACCTTTAGTTTGGATTATTGGCATTCTCTGATGTAGATTTCTGTCATTGTAGATATGTAATTACAGTAATCAATTCTCATAACCATGCTCACTCAGACTATATCATTTGAACTGCCAGTAGCTATAGCTCTCAAAGCCAAAGTTAATTCATTTTGTTCCCATTTTTGACAATTTTCAGTGTTCACAAAACAAGAAAAATGACTTCCTATTTGGTGTAAAGAGTATAATTTCCAACTTTACCCCAAGATGCCATGGTGGTATATTACTGTATGATAATATTATACATTTAATCATGAAGGGGGAAAGCTCTTGCATTTTTTTGTTACTTAAAAGAAATACTGAGTATGTTAATGTAGTTTCAGATCAATAAGTCATTAACAACACTATTGCAGCTGCACACAGAGAGAACCTTTTGTGCCTTTTTGCCTACAGTAAGCATTCATTTCTGTTTTATGTGAGTTATAAGAATGTTGATGATTATCGCACCTTGTTCTTCTGTAAATAGACTTGATTAAGGATTTTTTTCTTAAGCAAGGAACAGGTTTCATTACTAGGTTAGATACCTTAGGAAACATGAGAGGATATGTCTTTGGAGCCCAGCCTTTTCCCAGTATAGTGAGCAGGAAACTCCTTCAGAATGTAGTTATTTGTGTGCATATGTGTGTATATTATGTATAAATATTTAAATACAGGAAGATAAAATTTGGCATCACAGTGGTGTGATGACAAGAAGTAGTAAGGTGCTAGCGAGGTGGTTACATTAAAAGCACAGAAGAGTGTATAATCAGTCACTATGACTGGTGGTTTTGTAAACTCGGTTCAGTTTTTGAACCACCCAGAATACCTCATGTGTAAATACAGAGTGGTCATGACTTAATTGAAATACAGTTATTGTAAAAAGAATGTGAAGCCACTGGTTGGCTTATGCCTTCTGATCTATCATTCTTGCCTCTTTTTTTGTAAAGGGGTTATTTTTTTGTTTTTGTTTTTTAATAGGGTTTACAGCTAGAATTTTGAATGCCAAAGTTCTATTTATTAAATTAAAAAAAGTTTTCAATGTTAATGGCTAAGTATTTTTCCACTGGACTATTGTTTGTGATGTTGGAATTTGTATTTACAGAGAAATAAATTTTTTATAAAAAGATATATGTCTTTGGGAGTGCCTAATGTTAATATAAGAATGTATTCAAAATTTCAGACTCCACTGAATTCTCAATGACTTGACTTTTAGGTAAAAGCTTTCTATGAACACACAAGAGAATCTTTGACTAGAACATGGATACTTCTGCTTTTAGTCTCTTACAATTTCTTTTCAGTTACTGAAAAGTTTTTTCTCAGAGTCTTTCCATGAAGGGCACTGAGATTTTCTGATGACAGGTGCCATAAATACAAAGGCATGCCTGTATTTATTTTAGCTAATAGTGCTGTGTCCCCCTTTTCGATTTTTTAAAAATCCCTATTTAAATCAAGAGTTTTCTTTCTACTTTTCCAACAGACAGCATCGGTTTCAGTTTTTCATACTGCTGGAAGGTTGGGCTGGCAAGTTAAATCATATTTATTTTCCCCCTTTTAATTAGAGGTTGAAACCTTACTGAAACATACACAAATACAACCTTGTTAAAAGGTTACTCCACAGGGGCCTTGACATCTAAGCTTTAATGGTTTGCTAGCCTGGGCCCGGAGATGCCCTGTGGATGGCACCCTTGGTCCTTGTTCTCACACGTATGGGCGGTAGCCTCAATGTCTCTAGGAAGTTGGTTAATATTTGGATTAGCAGTATCTGTTTGCAGTCCAACTAACTTGGCATTGCTCTGTCAGTCTTTTGTGAGGCATCTAATTCAGTTAACAGGAGAAGGACCACTTTGGAAATCATGCATCACAAACCATATAGGTGGCAAGCGAATGTCTTACAAATAAAAACAGAGTGGACAAAATCCTAGAACATTTTTAAGGTGATTAGTAAAGAGGTCTCTCCTTCAGAAAGAAAGATATGATTATTTTTGATCTGGTTAAAAAAAAATATTTTGATGGGGGGGAGTCAACAAAGAGCTTTTGATAGTGTACGTCCCAGTGATTTGCCAATGGTTTGAGCTTCTCCAAGCCAACTTCCCCTAACCAAACAGAACCATTCTGTGTGGGAACACAGACGACTCCATTTAAAAGAGGTGTGAGTGAGATACATGGTAGTAATGGCACCAAATGGTGGGGTGTGGATCCAGCAGAGCTAACATCCTTTAAAAAGGAACAAAATCTTAACTTAGAAAATGAATGCTGTTGCATCTAACTTTGAGTGCATATATTATGCACAAGTCTGGAGAATAATAATTTAAACAGAAATAGTGTATACAGCTGGCATCCCTTCTAAACCAGAAAGCAAGGTAATTTAATTTACATCTTGTATTCCTACACTGATCATTTAGTCATAAAACAAGTGGTTAAACTTGTTTAATCGCCTGTGATTAAAAAATAATGCACAGCCATTGCCTTCTATATCATCATCAACATCATCATCATCATACTCATTAACATTTGAACACATGCCAGCCTAGTGTAAGGACCTTGCATAAATCATCTCGTTTATTTCTCTTTATAATATTCTATGAAGTAGGTGCTATTATTATCCCCACTTAAGGCCAAAAGATTGAGCCATAGAAAGGTTTAATATCTTGAACAAGTTAGAAGAGCTTGTAACAGCCACAATAAGAACCAGACCTCTTTAACTCCATAACCTGACTCTAAACCACTTGCTAGATTTCTGTTGCATATTAGTGCTCAAAATTAAACTCCTTCTTCCAAAAGCTGCTTCCTTGTTGAGCTGCTACGTTTCCATAAGTTACGCCTTTATTCCAAGAATCATTTGTGGTGATTTCTTCCCTATATACCCATCCATATTAGTTTCCTATTCCTTCTGTAACAAATTTCCACAAACTTACTAGCTTATTGAAATATAATTTATTAACACAGTTCTGGAGGTCAGAACTCCAAAATGGTTCTCACTGGGCTGAAATCCAGGTGTTGACAGGGCTGTGTTCCTTTCTGTAGACTCTGTGGGAGAATCTGGTTTTTTTGCTTTTTTTTTTGGCGGGGGGGCTTCTAATTACATTCCTTTGTTTATGGCCCCATTCTTCTCTCTTCAAAGCCAGCAATGTCAGGCCAAGCCCCTTTCACACTGCCATCTATTTGGTTCTCCTCTGCTGCCCTCTTCCCCGTTTAAGAAACCCTAAGATTTGATTTGGCCCTCCCAGATAATCCAGGATAATCTCCCTATTTTAGGGTCATAGTTGATTAGCAATCTTAATTCTGCTTGCATCTTTAATTCCTCTTTGACATGTAATTAGACATGTAATCTCATAGGTTCCAGGGAATATGATTTAGACATCTTTATGAGGGCTACTACTATTCTACCTTCCACACTGTCTCCTAAACAAATCCTTGTCAAATCTTTAAGTTTCTATTTTTCCATTCTTTCACATTTGTTTTGGGTACTTCATTTCTGTTAACCTTGTTCTGTTTAGTCTCAAACTATAAAATAGATGTCAGATACTTGAGCTTTAAAAAAATTAAATTGGAACCTCCAAAGTCTCCTTTTAAGCTATATCATTAATGATTCAGGTATTTGCTTAATCCAAGAAAACACATGTAAGACCCTTGGTTTAACTTCTGAAAAAAAAAAAAAAAAAAAAAAAAAACAAGTATTGTCTTTTTGGAGAATTTCTGAATTTTTAGAGCATTAATATTTGTCAATATCTTATAAATGTGCCACAGTCTGGCTTTTTCTGATTCTTATGATTAGATTGAGGTCAAATATTTTTGGCAAAAATGCTACTTGGGTGATGTGTATTTTTCATCATATTTGGAAGTTCACGATGTACCGTTATTGGTGATGCTAAATTAGACCATGTGGTTGTGCTAAATAATCATCTTCAGTTTTAACAGTCAAATGGAGGACAGGTGGCAAGGCTTTGGTGCATATAAAGTAGAGAGTTAGCAGGGTGCCTGGGTTGCTCAGTTGGTTAAGTGTCTGACTTTTGATTTCAGCTCAGGGTTATAGGATTGAGCCACACGTTAGGCTCAACTATATGTAATAATGTACTTATGTTATAAATAGAAAATACTATATGATTAAATTTATATAAAGTGTTAGATCGTGCAAAACTCATCTATGAGATAGTGACTAGAAGAGGCACAAGGGAAGTTCTGGGCTTCTGGGGCTGCTCTATTTCTTGATCTGGGTGATATTTACACAGATGTGCTCACTTTGTGAAAATTCATTAAGTGTACCCTTGTAATTCCTGTGCTTTTCTATATGTGTGTATAATTAAAAAGTTTACACTAAAAAAGGAGCAAGGAACTTTGAGAAAAATCAAATAGAATTTTTGGAAGGGAAAAATATGATAATTAAAAATTAAATGGAACAATTAAATAGCATATTAGATACAAAGAGAGAATTTGTAAACTGAAATAGAGTCAAGAAATCATCCAGAAAAGTAGGTTGAAAACAAGAAGGATATAATGACATGGTTTAATAAAAAATTTAATTGGAACTTCAAAAGGAGAAGATTGAGAAAATGGAGAATATGAAATATTTTTTTAAAGATTTATTTATTTTAGAGAGAACATGAGCAGGAGGTGGTGGGGGTGGGGAGGATGCAGAGGGAGAGAGAGTCTCAAGCAAGACTGTGCTGAGCACAGAGCCCGATGTGGGGCTTGAGATCGTGGCCCGAGCCAAAATCAAGAGTCAGACTCAACTGACTGAGCCACCCAGGTGCCCCAAGAATATGAAATATTTAAAGAGGTCATATTTATTTACCTGGATGGTAAATTTTTCAGGATGGTGCATTATATTAATTTTTGTATATTGAACCATCCTTGCCTTTCAGGAACAAATACTACTTGGTCATGGGGTATAATCCTCCCCCCACCTCCCCCCAGTAGTAGTAGTTTTGTAGTATAATGTTCCTAGGAGTGGTTTTGCTTATATTGTCCCTGTTTATGTTTGTTGTTGTTATTTTTTTTTTAAGATTTTATTTATTTATTTGAGAGAGAGGAAGAGTGAAAGAGATCACAGAGGGAGAAGCAGACTCACTACTAAGCAGAGAGCCTGATGTAGCGCTCCATCCCAGGACTCCCACAAGATCATGACCTGAGCTGGAGGCAGATGCTTAACCAACTAAGTCACCCAGGCATCCTGTCCCTGTTTTGGTTTGATAGTTTCTTTGAATCTGTGAGTTGATATATTTCATTTTGGAAAATTCTCAGCTTATTATTCCTTTACATATTATTTCTGCCTCATTTTCTCTCCTCTCCATTTATGACCTCAATTATGTATATCTTCTCTTTTATCCCCTGTGTTTCTTATGTTCTTTACTAATCTTTTGTTTTCTCTTCTTTCTGAAAGTTCTGGTATATCTTTCAGTTCAATATTTCTGCTTTTAACTATTTTACCTGTGAAATCCGTCCATTGAGTTCTCAATATCTGGTATTATATTTCTCCGTTCTAGGATTTCCATTTGGTCCTTCCTCAGAATTATCAGTTTTCTGCTAACACTCTCAAGAGCATATTAAGTATAACTATTTTAAAGCCCATTATTTGTATCTTCAGTTGGTTTATTTCTACCATCTATTGTTTATTTTTATAGTCTTATTTCTTCATATGCCTGATTATTTTTATTAAGAGCTGAATATTTTATATAAATTTAAAATATAGACATAATTTGAGGCTCTTGATGATGTTATATTTCTTCAGACAAGATTTAAATTAGCTTCTGGAGGGCTAGGGGCACTAATCACCTTAACTCAGGGATTCAGATGATTTAGAGCAAGAGTTTGAGCCCCTGGGAGAGCCACTCTTCATCTGGCTCACCTAGCAGAATCACAATACAAAGCCAAGGGCACTTTACCAGGGCCTGCCTTCCTATGAGGACTATAGTTTCCAATTTTACCTCTAGCCCAGGAATTAGTGCATTATGAACCACAGGCCAAATCTAGCCTACCACCTGGTTTTATAAATAAAGTTTTATTGGAACACTCTTATGCCCGTTCATTTATATATTGCCTAAGGCTACTTCTATGCAATAATGACAAAGTTGAGTAGTTGTTAGAGACAAATGGCCCCCAAAGCCAAAATTATTTTTTATATGGCTCTCTATAGGAAATTTTGCTGACCCCTGTCCTAGGTCCTAAGTGTGAGGAAAGCTCTGTCTAGCTTCTTAGCAATCTCCTCCGGAAATGGCAGGTAGCCCTAAAGGAAAAATAGCCCCAAAGTCTACGGTAACCTCTCATAGCTTCTTTCTTCTACTGGCTCATAGGCCTATGATATTTTTTACTGCATCATTAGCTCTCTGATGTCTTCAAGTAGATTTTTTTTTCCAGCATTTCCTAGTTCACTCTATGGGAGGGTTGATCTGAATTTCATGGATTGTGAGGAAGCAGAAATCTTTGTTTCTTGTAAGACATTTGTACAACTGGTTTTAAAACAAATTCAGCCTGGCAGTGGGTATTCTGCCACCCCCTTTTGTTGGTTAAAGTATTGTTTTCCAAGGATATTGTCCTTTGTTAACTTTGATCTCTTCTAGTTGTTTGCTACAGTGATTATGGTGCAGTTATTCTAGTTCTAGTTATTCTGGTTCTTATAAGACCTGCTATCACCATACAAAATGAATCCCTTTCTAGACTATTTCATAATATATTTACTTTACTAAATTTTCCCCCTTCTAATCAATCCTGCATATCTGCTTCTGAATAACCTTCAGAATGGCTCAAAAACCTTCAGTTATTCCCCATTGTCTACTAAAGAAATTCTTAACCTGCCATTCAGTGTTCTTTTTGTTCTCTTTTTCCTTATCCTACTTTTCAAGCTTTTCCCTCCTGCTAATCTAGTGTTCATACTTTGGTCAAAATAGACACTCAACTCTGCTTAATAAATACCAAATTATTCCCATCCAACTTAATGCTTCTTTCTCCTTTAGATTGAACTTCCTCCCAGTTCTACTTTTCAAAAATTCAATTCAAATGGAATTATGTCTAACCACCTCTTTCTTATTCTTGTATGCCTCACAGTGGCATGGACCTAGTGCACAATCAATAAACGTATGTTTTTTGCTGGAAATAAGAGTTGGGTTCCACAATATTTGCTTTGACTAACTTCTCTTTCTAAACATTTCAGCTGGAGAAGCAAAGATAAACTTTTTAATTGGGGAGTACTGTCAGTCTATTTTTTTCTACAGGTATTTGAGTTATTAAAATAATTGCTAAAATTAGTGAATTATTTATATCATTAAATTGGCTAGATGATAATCATTAAATAAAGGCTGTTATCAGATATGGTACTGAAAATTTTCTTTTTTTTTAATTTAATTAATTAACATATAGTGTATTCTTAGTTTCAGAGGTAGAGTTCAGTGATTCATCAGTCTTATATAATACCCAGTGCTCCTTACATCAGGTACCCTCCCTAATGTCTATCACCCAGTTACCCCATCCCCTTACCCCTCCCCTCCAACAACCTCCAATTTGTTTCCTATATTTAAGAGCCTCTTATGGTTTATCTCCCTCTCTGATTTCATCTTGTTTTATTTTTCCCTCCCTTCCCCTATGACCTCTGTTTTGTTTCATAAATTCCACATATGAGTGAAATCATATGATAATTGTCTTTCTCTGATTGAATTACTTTGCTTAGGTGGTATTGACAAATCTCTTAAAACTTTTAAACTGTTGCTAACAACTGAATGATTTGAATCCACTAATTCCTATTTTAATTCGAGTAACAAGGTAAACCATGTAACCGGTATCTAATGAAATGTGATGAAAAATAACTAAATTCTATTTGTATCTTGAACAGTTGCCCTCAATAGTTAAGTCATGTTGACAAATGGCAGGCAGTATAGAAAACAATAACTAAAAAGGTCAGGTCCTCCTGGGGCAGAGCTAGAAAAAGTGCCTAGAATAAACATTGTGAAGAATGAAAAGTGGTGTAATGTAAAACTGAACCATGAGGAGAACATCTCAAGGATTGGTGAATACTCTTTTGGGATAGAAAGTGTCTTTATCTGGCTTTTGAGTTCAGAATGAAAGTAATAGTACCTTTTATGTGCAAATGGAAAAGGAAGCAGTGAAATGTGTAAGGATTTAAGACTCAGTGCTAATATTTGCCCATCGATGAGTCTAAGCAGGCGCAGGCAAAAAGAATGGTGCTGGAGAAAAAAGAATGAAACAAAATCCTTCCATAGTATTCAGAAGGCCAAATTACAATAGGAAGAATGCTTTTATTTAATGTGATTGAAGAGATGTTGGGAGAATTGCTTATGACAAAGAACCTGCCAATATTTCACAACTAGTGATTCACACTTTTGTGTCTGACATTTTATTCACCAATTCTTTTTTCATAGGTTTTGTTTTTAGAGCACTTACATGTTTACAGGAAAATTGCATAGAAAACATACCTACTCTCCCTCCACCTGTATGCAGTTTCCCCTATTATTAACATCTTGCATTAGTATGGTACATTTCTTATAATTGATTAACTAATATTGATACATTATTATTAGTTGAAGACTATAGTTTACGTTAGGGCTCACCTTTGAACAGCTTTGTGGGTTTTGACAAATATATGGTGTCATGTATCTACCATTGCAGTATTTTACAAAACAGTTTGCCCTAAAAATCCTCTGTGCTCTACCTATTCTTCCCTTCCCCCAAACCCCTGGCAACAACTGATTTTTTTTTTTTTTTTACTGTCTTTATAGTATTGTCTTTCCCAAAATGCCATATAGTTGGAATCATACTGTATGTAACCTTTTCAGATTGGCTTCTGTCACTCAGCAATATGCATGTATGATTCCTCCATATCTTTTCACAGCTTGATAGCTTATTTCTTCCTATCATTGACTATTCCATTGTATGGATGTACCAATTTTATCCATTCACTTATTGAAGAACAATTGTTTGTTTCCAGGTTTTCACAATTATGAATAAAGCTGCTATAAACATTCATGTGCAGGTTTTTGTGTGGACAAAAGTTTCAACTCTTTGGGATATATACCTAGGAGCACAATTGCAGGATCATATGGTAAGACCATGTTTAGCTCTGTAAAACAGCCAAACTGTTTTTCAAAGTGACTTACTATTTTGATTTCCTACCTACTGCTCTACATCCTTGTCAGCATTGTTATTAACAGTGTTTTGAATTTTAAGCAGTCTAATAGGTATGTCGTGTCATCTCATTATTGCTTTCCTAATGATATATGATGTTGAACATCTTTTCATATGATTATTTGCCATCCGTATATCTTCTTTGGTGGGATATCTGTTCAGATCCTTTGCCTATTTTTTAATTGAGTTGTTTGGTTTCTTATTCCTGAGTTTTAAAGAGTTCTTTGTATATTTTGGATACAAGTCTTTTATCAGATACATGTTTGGCAGACATTTTCTCCCTGGCCATGGCTTATCTTTTCATTCTCCTAACAGTGTTGTCCTCAAAACAGAAGTGTTTAATTATAATGAAGTCCCACTTTTCAACTTTTCTTTAATGGATTATGTTTTTGATGGGGTTCTCTAAAAAAGTCATTACCAAACCCAAGGTCATGTAGATCTTTTATGTTATCTTCTAGGAATTTTATAGTTTTGTGTTTTACATTTAGGTCTGTGATCCATTTGGGGTTAATTTTTTGAAAGCTTTAAGGTATCTATCTCGATTCATTTTTTTTGCATGTGGATGTCCCATGGTTCCAGCACCATTTGCTGAAAGGACTGTCCTTTTCCATTAAAGTGCCTTTGCTGTTTGTCAAAGATCGATTGACTATGTATATGTGGACTGTGATTCTCTTTTAAAATAACATTCCTCCTGAGAAAGAAAGCATGTTGAAAGTTATGAATATTTTATTTTATTTATTTTTTATCTTTTTAACTTTATTTAAATTCAATTAATTAACATATAGTGTATTATTAGTTTCAGAGGTAGAGTTTAGTGATTAATCAGTTGCATATAACACCCAGTACTCATTAAATTAAGTGCCCTCCTAATGTCCATCACCCAGTAACCCCATCCGCCCACCAACCTCCCCTCCAGCAACCTTCAATTTGTTTCCTATAGTTAAGAGTCTCTTATGGTTTATCTCTCTCTCTGATTTCATCTTATTTTATTTTTCCCTCCCTCCCCCTATGATCCTCTGTTTTGTTTCTTAAATTCCACATATGAGTGAAATCAAATGATAATTGTCTTTCTCTGAATGACTTATTTCACTTAGCGTAATACCCTGTAGTTCTAACCATGTCATTACAAATGGTAAGATTCCATTTTTTTGATGGTTGAATAATATTCCATTGTGTGTGTATGTGTATGAGTGTATTGTGTGTATATGTGTATGTGTGTGTGTATTGTGTATGTGTGTGTATATGTGACACACAACATCTATATATAGACGCACAACATCTTCATAATCTATCTGCTGAAGGACATCTGGGCTCTTTCCATAGTTTGGCTATTGTGGACATTGTTGCTATAAACATTGGGGGGCAGGTGCCCCTTCAAATCACTATGTTTGTATCCTTTGGGTAAATACCTAGTCGTACAATTGCTGGGTCATAGGGTACTTCTATTTTTAACTTTTTGAGGAAACTCCATACTGTTTTCCAGAGTGGCTGCACCAGTTTGCATTCCCACAGCAGTGTAAGAGGGTCCCCCTTTCTCTGTATCCTTGCCAACATCCGTTGTTTCCAAGTTATTAATATTTAAGCATGAAAAAGTTATTCAAAGTCTTCTATTGACAGCAGAGACTGGATTAGAGAATATTGGCTGTTGAGAGGTAGCCAGAATTTTGGTCCAGCTGGGTCTCCCTCCCCTATATAAAGGATTGGATTGGAGAATATATTCCCTTCCCTGCTCCTTCTTCGCTTATTCTCTGACATGTAAATTGTGAGGTTATTATTCAACTGTTGTAGCTATTGCATTATCATCATTTTTAGAATTACATTGCTGTCAGTCTTAGCTCTGATGTGATAATTCACAAAGCAAGCCAAATGAATTCATATTTTCTACGGCTATATCCCAGTTTTTCTGTAGCCCTGGAGCAGAGTTGGTCTGAAAATTTTCCAGGCAGAAGTCATCAAAAATGAGAGTACTATGGAAAAACAGTGCACCTAATAGCCTTGAAGTGACAGTCCATCTATGCAGGAATTAATGCTTTCATACAAGAGTACTATTCCAGAAATATGTAACAGGAATATATAAATTCACTTAAATTTAATCTAATGGCAAGATTCAATTTTCAGTAAAAATTGAAGGCTTCTTTTCAACCTGAAAATGGTGAAGTATTTTGTTTCATAAGTCTGTTAAAGGATAATTTTCAAAAAAGTAGCATGACTCATACAAATATAAAGTGAACATGCATCAAAGATTTAATGTAACTCATTAATTAAGGGAGCCAGAAAAGCTGTTATAACTAATTCAAAAGAGAATCCAAACAACAAACATATTTATAAATCAGGAGTATTGAATTTGCAAAACGTTTTTCCATCATGGGGAAGGGAAGTCAATTGAACCTTCACTAGTCAGAATTTATTGCGTATTGGTAGACAAGAATTGCCAATAGACAATTATTTTGCCTTATTATCAGTTATCTACAACTTACAAGAATTGTAAATAGCTCCAAAGGCAATAACAGGCTTACCTCAGATAACCTAGAATGTACTCTAAACAATGCATAGTTTTCTATTGAAGGGACTCAGTAACCATTTTTGTTTATTCCAAGTTTCCTTACAAATTTTTCTATGCTTCTGTTTTTCTTTGGCTTATGGGACATTTGTATCACTTCAAAGATTATTGAGGCTGCAGGTACAGGCAATATTTATAAATTCTTCCTGAGCCCAATCCAGACAATGAGATGTTTGTTTCATCACTAGGCTACCTTAGGTAAAACAACATAGGACTGAAACAGGGATAGATTTTTAAAATACAGCTAGAAATATGTTATATTAAAATATGTTCATTCAGAAAAAATATTTTCACTTGGCTCTCTTTCTTTTCCTCCTCCTTCTTAAAGCACATTTCCTTTATGTTTCTCCCCTTATTATTGATTGTATAGTTTTTTTAACCATTTTATTTTTTTCGTCATGATACGTGTACTCTGATCCCCATCTCTCTATTTCCCCAGCCCCACCCCACCCCCCTCTCCACTGGTAACCATCAATTTGTTCTCTGCAGTGAAGAGTCTATTTCTTGGTTTGCCTCTCTTTTTTTCTTTCCTTTGTTCATTTGTTTTGTGTCTTAAGTTCCACATAGGAGTGAAATCATATGGTATTTGTCTTTCTCCGACTTATTTCACTTAGCATAATACTCTCTTGCTCTATCCACGTTGTTGCAAATGGCAAGATTTCATTCTTTTTTTACAGCTGAATAATATTTCATTGTGTATATATACACCACATCTTCTTTATCCATTCATGTATCATTGGACACTTGGGCTGCTTCCATAGTTTGGCTATTGTAAATATTGCTGCAGTAAACATAAAGGTACATGTATCTCTTTGAATTAGTGTTTTGTATTTTGGGGGTAAATGCCCAGTAGTGTGATTTCTGGGTGGTAAGATAGTTCTATTTTTAACTTTTTGAGGAACCTCCATACTGTTTTCCACAATGACTACACCAGTTTACATTCCCACCAACAGTGCACAAGGGTTCCTTTTCCTCCACATCCTCCCCAACACTTGTTGTTTCTTGTGTTTTTGATTTTAGCCATTCTGACCTGGGTGAGGTGGTATCTCATTGTAGTTTTGATTTGCATTTCCCCGGTGATGAGTGATACTGAGCATCTTTTCACGTGTCTTTTGGCCATCTGTGTGTCTTCTTTGGAGAAATGTCTGTTCATGTCTTCTGCCCATTTTTTAATTGGATTATTTGATTTTGGGGTATTGAGTTATATTAGTTCTTTATATATTTTGCACACTAACCCTTTATTGGATATGCCATTTGCAAATATCTTCTCCCATTCGGTAGGTTGCTTTTAGTTTTATTGATTGTTTCCTTCACTGTGCAGAAGCTTTTTATTTTGATGTAGTCCCAATAGTTTATTTTTGCTTTTATTTACCTTCCCTCAGGGGACATAGCTGGAAAAAAAATCTGCTATGGCCAGTGTCAGAGAAATTGCTGCCTATGCTCTCTTCTAGGATTTTCATGGATTCAGATCTCATATTTAGGTCTTTAATTTTGAGCTTATTTTTGTGTATGGCGGAAGAAAGAAGTCCAGTTTCATTCTTTTGTATGTAGCTGTCCAGTTTTCTCAACACTGTTGAAGAGACTGTCTCTTATCCATTGTGTATTCATTCCTCCTTTGTTGAAGATTCATTGACCATATAATTGTGGCTTTATTTCTGGGTTTTCTGTACTATTCCATTGATCTATGTGTCTATTTTTGACAGTATGGTTTTGTAGCTTATGAACCACTCTTTTTTTAGCTTATATAACTGATACTTAGGCAATGAGTGTGCGAGAGCTCTCTTTGATGAGGCAATACTTTCTATTATTAATATATTAATTAGTATTTGTTTTTTCCTCATTCTTCATACAGGTCTAAATGTTTAGAGAGGGTATCCCCTAAAGGAGCCTGCAAAAATGGGTCCCTGGATATCCCTCCCTCTTATTCTGGTTTACATATTCTTTAATGAGTTTTCATTCCAATGCTTTAAATGGGACTTTGGGAAGTTTGTTTCAAAGGACTGAAGGCCTGTGGTGTCCTGTCAGCACCTGAGCTGGGTAGCCTCTTAAGGGTAAGTGGAATCTTCCTAGAAGCTATAGAACTCCCTTTCTCTCGGAGTAGGGGCTTTCATACAAACAGGAGCTACAGCTCCCCTCCTGCCTCCAAACACATCGAAGGAATGGACACCTGAACTTCTGCAGTGTGCCCTCACTGATAGAGCTTGCCTAGGCTTGCCCTTCTCTCAGATCAGAAGATCCATGGCGCTCGGAGTCATCCCGATGTTTGCACTTACTGTGCTGCACATGGGTCTCCTGAATATTTTTCCCATGTAGGGGGATGCTCAAACTCACAGCTGTAATGTCTAGTGCAGTCAGCACACAGACAAAGTTTGCTAAGCTTTATTCAGAACATCATCAGCAAACATCCATGCTCCTAATCGCTGCATAGAACTTGGTTGAGGGAATACTGCCTCCTCACCTTGCCTACAGAAGACACAAAAGTACAACTAAATCCATTTCACCAGCTTAGGGTACAGTTATGATTCTGTTTTCCCTATTAACGGCTAAATTTTAGCAGAGTATAGCATCCTCCGTTTGAGCTCTTCTCTCCCTTTGGAGTGGTCTGGAAATGGGAGCTAATTTGAATTGGTTCAGAGAGGGTGAGTTCTGCCTTTATACGGAGCAGGACCCTGGCACGTTGGCCAGGTGTGGAGGGATTTGCAGGCACAGGCACAGGCTCTGCCAGGCCCTTGGTGTCTCTCACACACACCCACGTGCCCAGTGTTCAGATGGGGCCACAGACCATTATCCCTGGGACTGCAGGCAAATTCCCCTTTGGGGTCTGTGGTATCTTCTCTGACCAGCCGACTTTGGTCTGAGCCATGCTGGCCCTCTCTATCAGTTAGAAAATACCCTGGGATTTCAGGAAAGAGGTTTGGAATGGGGCTTTCCCTTGAGAAGTATGCAACTTCCCAGAGCTCCAAGGGGAGAGAAGGGACCTTTTCTAAGCCACAGAAAGTAAAAAGGTCCACTTATACCTTGTTCCCAGGGTAATATGGGTACTTGTTCAATTTTCTTATTTTCCCCCCTTTTAGGTCAAAAAGAAGCAAACATTTTTTAAAAAATTTCACCTCACTTCATTTCATAACAAAGAGTGGCCACACTTACTTAGTTGTCAATGAATCATTTATTTTTTTAAAAAAAATACCTCGAAGTTTATAAAAATAGTATGTACTAATTGTAGAGTATTTGAAAAACGATCATGTATTTTCAAAATGAAAAAAGCCAGGTGACACTTGTCAGCCTGACTTCCAAACCACTACCAGGACAACATCTCTCACTTTTCTATTTGGACTGAGCCCAGAGTGGGGGAAACATCCATCTTCTTAAATGTCCAAACTTGGAAAGAACCCTGCTCTCGTCTGCAAGGAGAAAATTAAATTCATAGTGGCTCCCTGATGGTGAGAGAGAGAATAGAGAAGCAAAAGCTCAGGAGGCACATGGCTAATGTAATCATCAACCCGAGAGAGAAAAGTCATGATGCTTGCATAGAATAATAATCGTGAAACTCCAGGTGGTAGAAATCTTTGATTGTGGCAAGCATCCTCATAAATTTCAATCTTCAAATGATTCCCCCTGATAAGGATTCCAGTGAATATGCCCATTTACCTTATCCATTTTGGTTTTGCATGGAAAAGGGACGTGGTGATCACAGACATCACTGGATAAACTCTGCTTTCTGGGGACTCCAGGTTAAGACAAGCACTTAGTATGTGATGGGCACTGTTCTAGACCCTTGGGATACAGGAAAGAAAGGCTATTGAAGTTTATCACCCAAAGGCTGATGTTTTGATCTTCATTAGGAATGCAGAAACATGAATTGGAGCATTTGTTTACATGCAGATATTTTATTTATTTTTTGATTTTTTTTCAGTCGTCTCTGCTGAAGGAAGAATTGAGAAAAAAGTATTAGACTAGAAGAATAAATAAGCTGTATAATATATAATTAGGGCTAATGGAGCTATGTAATAAAGGAGAAATAGCAAACAAAGGTAGTGGCTTCATGGAATAATGCTAGGTACTATGGCCATAAGTTTTTCCCAGAATGTATTTTATTTCTCACCTTTTGTTTCAGTTGTAAATATTTCTTTCTGGATTCCTATGCCAAATCTCAACTCATTTTCACTAAATAATTATTTTTTTCTCTTAAAATGCCAACTGGTATGTGTTTGCATAAGGTTATAACCTTCTTCACAGGCATATAATCAGCATATTAGGATGTCTGATCATTAGAGGATGTTTCAGGGAGACTGAGCACCCGCTCAAAGTTAAATCTCAAAACTGCATGTCATTTTTACATATTTTTAATGCTTGGTGGCTTAGATTTCACAATTCCCATGCTAATGGCCTTATCAATTTTCTTTTAAGCTTTGGAAATTGACAAAGAACTGGTTTCATTACTGAAGGCTTTGAAATATGTCAAAGGGAAGATAGTTAACTTTCATTTTATTAGTAGTCATTTTAAAGCACTGCACAGGGAAGAGTAGGTACCATTATTTTTGATATCCCTGAAGAATCTTCCCAGCCTGCATGCCTATTTTGATCTGAATGTTTTAAAAACACAACATCCCACCTCCCCTGACTCCACTATTTCCACCCCCCAATTTTGTTTTCTCAAACAAGGACCTCTTCTACACCCTCCTTGGCAAGTTTCTGCCTGAACGTGGCCAGTCCTGTGGAACACCATATAAGTGCTCCTTTTCCCAGGGACTACATCGACTGGGGTCTATTTGTCACTATGAAAAGGAAGACTGGAAGACCAAGGAAATGCTGCTTAACTGGGCTGCTCTTGGTGGAAGCAGGCCCTGGTGACTATTCCAAATAATCTCCAATGTTATCCAGTCATGCACTTACAGAGGCAGCTGAAAAGTCACGAGACACAGCATAGGGAATATGGTCAATAATATTGTAATAACTTTGTACAATGACAGATGGTAGCTACACTTTTCTTGGCGAGCATTTTGTAATGTACATAATTGTCAAAGCACTATGTTGTACACCTGAAACTAAGATAATATTGTATGTCAACTACACTTCAATAAAACATAAAAATGAATAATTTTTTTTAAAGATTTTATTTATTCATTTGAGACACAGAGATACAGAGAGAGAGAGAGAGCATGAGCAGTGGGAGAGGCAGAGGGAGAGGAAGAAGCAGACTCCCCGCTGAGTCAGAAGCCCAGTGTGGGACTCGATCCCAGGGCCCTGGGATCATGACCTGAGCCGAAGGCAGATGCTTAACCATCTGAGCCACCCAGGCGCCCCAAAAATGAAAAATTTTTAAATAATAAATTTTAAAAGGAAAGTCACGGGATAGGAGGTATTTGTACAACCAGACTTCCTTAATTTGTTCTCAGGCAAACGTGGCATTGATCTATCAAAAATGTGAATGGCTCATCTCTAGATAAAATAACCAATGTTGCTTTCTTCTCCCAGGCTGTAGGTTGGCTGGGTTTTGAAACCAGTTTTAAATTCTGGCTCTTGGCAAAAAAAAAAAAAAAAAAATTGATCATCTTGCAGACAGAAATGCTTCCATCTCCGAAAATAGCAAAAGGTTCTACTTAGAAGGGAAGGATTCTAAAAGACTGAATTGTGGTTGCCACCTTACAGTAGGATTTAGTATTTAATACAATCATTTTTGGCAAGAGTTTGGCTGGTTTCTTTCCTGCCCCCAGCTGTTATTGGCTGTGCCTGCTTTATTCTTAACCACATTTTCAAAGCAGAGCCCCTGCTGGGTTTTGCATCACTCCGAAGGCAGGGGTCCTATTCTTTCAGCTTCTTAAACTGAACTGGAATTTGTGGTCTGGTACCAGGAAATGTGTTTTCTGCATTTTTTTTTCTTTCTGAGAAGTATAACAATGAACTGCAAGTTGAAGTTAAAGTCTTAGCTGATTTTTAATACTACATGAGCAGGTCCTGTGGAAGCAGTATAACTTTGTAGAGAATTACTGGGGACTCATCGTTCCCTAAATGCCATACTTTTGCACAAGGTCCTTTGACTAAAGGGCCACATTTTTAGGGGGTTGGGATGATTGGGGAATAGCTAATTTTCAACTGATAAGGGTTGGAGACCCTTTAGGAAATTTCCGCTTATGGAACGGGGATTGCCTTGAAATTATTTCTTTTCTTTTTTTTTTAAAGATTTTATTTATTTATTTGACAGCGAGAGAGACAGAGAGAGGGAACACAAGCAAGGGGAGTGGGAGAGGGAGAAGCAGGCCTCCCGCCGAGCAGAGAGCCCAATGTGGGGCTGGATCCCAGGACCCTGGGATCATGACCTGAGCCAAAGGCAGACGCTTAACGACTGAGCTACCCAGGCGCCCGTGCCTTGAAATTATTTCTGTCGCCCTAAATATGGTTTTAAGTTCTGGTGGTAACCCCATGTATCCATGAGTCATTTGAAACTTCCCTTTCCAAATGACCTCCACATTTGCACATTTTGTATCGCAAGTCAGGTTTGGCCCCTGTCACCTGGGTCCCCCCTGGGATGGGAGCTCTAGTAAAGTGCAGGTCGCTTGGCAAGACTGGAACCTGCCTAGATTTGTCACCCTGTCCTGCCTTTGTGCTCTGGACTATTGTTCTCCCCTGTTAAACACTCAAACCCTGTCTTTTCAGCTAATCCAAATCCTTTTCTGTCATGAAGACTTAGTAGGAGCCTCATTTCCACATAAGAAGAGATTTGTCCCCTTTTCTTAGTAGGGTAAGGGCTATTGATGTAGGAAAGATGTTAGGGTTTGGAGCCAACTGCCAAAAAAGAAATCTTGAGACACCTTTGGTGCAAAAAGGTGGCTTTATTAAAAGCACAGGGACAGGACCCATGGGCAAAAAGAGCTGCACTGGGGTTGTGAGGAGTGGCCCATTACATACTTTTCAAGTTAGGAGCAGGTTAGAGATAGGGTAAGTCTCTAACGAAATTTGGAAACAAGGTTTCCAGGACCGTGAAGGGACTAGCTATTGTTAGGAAAAGGTCATTTATTACTGTCTAATAAAACCTTAGTCATGAGACACTTCAGTTGGGTATCAGTGGGCCATATGCTTGGGGGGATGACTGCCAACGTGTATCTTTGGGGGGTAGAGATAAAGGAAGTTTCCAAAGGAATTTTTATATGTTAAAGTAGATCTACAGGATCCTGGGGCTCAGGCTAAGATTGCCTCTTGCCCTTAGCAGAGTATTACCGTCGAGGCAGCTGAGTTCCTAGAGGAACGTCACTCTGCCTGTTTCAAAGACTTGTCAGTGGGCTTTAAGTAACAAGGAAACTTAATTTTTCTTTTGCCTTTGTTTCCCACATCACTATTATTGGAAACCTTGCTCCTCTCCATCTTCTTCTCCCCTTCCCCTTGGGAGAAAGAGGGGGCAGTCTGGCTGGAACTGGACATCTGTTGAGTTTGAGCCAAAGCTACTGGTGGGAAATTCAGGCTCTACCCATTTGTTTTCTTTCATTCCATCTGTTTGGGTTCAGGGCATTTCTTCTTTCCCCTTCACTTCTGGACCTAGGGACAGGAGATGCTCCTTTGCTTTCTGTCCTCAAGCACATCTAGATGGGGTCAAGCTCCTTGGTAGATGGTCCTTCTTTTTGCAGTGATTGGGACAACATCATTCAAAATCTCTTCAAGTGTACTCCTGTCTCTTCAGGCAGTCCTGAGAGTAAAGAGAATTCTTTTAACTGGATTCACAACAGCACTAGAAAGCTCACTTAAACCCTAACAGATGTGATGTGTTCCAAACTAATTTTTATCAGAGAGTCCTGCCCTGGAGTTTATATGAGGCTTTCAGAGATTCAAAAAAAATGATACTTGTTTCCTGTATGGCTAATAGATATTTGGGTTGTGTAGTCTGTTGGCCAGATGCTTAATGTCTTCTCTGACTTGATCCCTCTTTGGGATATAATGGCTCCACTGGGATTTTCTACTACTTTCAACACAAAAGTTGGTATATACCCTGTACCATAAAGGGCCCATGCTTCTTTCTTTATTGATAAAATATACTTGTGTCCTGACCACAGGAAGTTTACAATCATGTTCAGGGCTCATAATTGAAGAACCAAGGGCACCTGGGTGGCTCAGTCATTAAGCGTCTGCCTTCGGCTCAGGCCATGATCCCGGGGTCCTAGGATCAAGCCTCGCATCGGGCTCCCTGCTCTGCAGGAAGCCTGCTTCTCCCTCTCCCACTCCCCCTGCTTGTGTTCCCTCTCTCTGTCAAATAAATAAAATCTTAAATATATATATATATGTATATATATATAATTGAAGAGCCAAATTGAAGTAACAAGGTAGCAGTGATTCTAAATGCCTGTGGTTAAGCCATTTCAGCCTACTTCCTTAAACCTCATCTCCATCCCTGGTTATAGTTCAAAGGAAAGTAAAGTGGAACAGAATTTGGTTCTAGGATTGGAACGCAAAAGTCCCAAATAGTCCCCAACAACTGCAACACCACCACTTTATCATTTGCTCCCATAAATACCATCTGCTTTATAGCTACATTCCTGATTAGCCAATGACATTTAAAAGGAATGTTACTAAAACCTGCTTTTCATACTTACGCCTATCTTCAGAGGTTCTGATGGCCCTGAGATGAGCTTTGCCAAGATGCGGTGGGGACCTTGTCCTCCGAGGCCCCTAAAGAAGTCAAACCACCACTCTGGTCTAAGCTCCCAGGAAGACCTGCTCTCGGATACAGGAGTGAATCTCTCTACACACAAGAACATTTCCTTTCACCTAGTTTTAGGTTCTAGAAAAACCTATCCTGATTCCAAAACGAATCCTCTTCTCTCTAAACAAGTTGGGCCTGTGCCTTAAATTACTAGGCGAAGCTGTAATTAATACTGAAACACTAAAGCTTGTGTTTGTCACTTAAAGTTTGTCACCAAAACCTCAAGGGCACCAGCTGCAGAAGGCCCTCGAAAGTGCTGGGCTCCCCATACGGTTCTTTGCCCTGCAAATACTACTACCTCTGTCTAGATATAAGTTTTCCTTGCCCAAATCCCTATATCGGTATTTAGTGCCTCGAACGCTAATCACCCACCAACACTACTTCTGGGTTCGTAACCAGTGAACACAGGCACAAAGAAGTCAAATGCACCTTACAGTAAAGTCAGTCTTGTTGGCTTGGCAGCCCCTGATAAACAATGTGAGATGGTGGAGCTAAGGCTTAAGTGAAGGTCAGAATTTCCTCCTTTCTTCCCGATCTGGGCCTTGTTCCTTAACTATAGGGAGAACTATTTCTACAGAGCACACATTTTCCCCAACCACCTGTACAGAGAAGTATGACGTTAGTAACCCAGTGACCAGCAGAACAGATGGAGCTCGCTGAAGGAGAGGCTGGGATGTTGTCAGTGTTTCAATGCTGTGCCTTCTCCCCACCCTAGTCAGCTTGGTAAATATGTGTCAGATTATTTGCGGTCTTGCCAGACAGATCTGCTTTTATTCCAGCGACAAAGAGTGAGTAAAGGGGCAGACAGAAGATCCAGAAGTATTCACCCCAGTTCTGCTCCTTCATCTCCACAGAAATGTGAAAGGGGAGGGCAAGTGCTGACCCAGCATCTTCCAACTGTGATGAGGACACAGCTGTTGTTTTGAAGGAAAGCGTTCTTGTTGGTGGATATGAGATAGATGAGAAAAATATTTCTAAAATTTCAAAAGCTTAGTTTTAGCTTTAATTTACTTTGCAACTAGCCAATGGATTAACTTTTTTTTGCTTGTTATAAAACAGGATAGTGTATTTCTCTTGCTTGGTTCCTTTGAGCCCCGAGGCCTAGACGTGGGAAATCTGGTTTATACACAGAAACAACTTCAACTCTCAAGGTCAAACAGCATATCGATGAGCTAGAATTTCTTTATTGAATCTGCTGACTCTGCCTCACATCAAACAGTGTTGTCCATATGCTTTTCTCACAAAGAAAGCTGTGGGGTGTTGCATAAAACTGCCGAATCATCACCATGGCACAGCTGAATGCATGGCCTTCAGGGGACAGCCTTTCTCTCCACTAAGATTTCCTGTGAAATGTCTTACCGTAGTCCACACTATGCTTGCATAAATCCTGGGGATGTAATGAGAGACGTTGCCTTTTCCTCATTTTTCATGAACTTCAAAGTATCAAGCGAATATAATGCTTAGTCTTTTAAATACAATCTCATACATTTCCTCAAAATTCTGGTTGATAAATACAATCAGAACTCTTTTAAAGAACATCCTGTTGGTCTACAGATCAGGTCACAATGTGGATCAAGTTGCAACCTCCTTGTGCATCTCTGTCACTATAACCCAAAATTATCGACAGTGCTCTCCATACAAATATGACATATTACATGGCATTTTACCATAGTTAGTCGAGATTAAAAAAAAAAAAAAAGTGCTGCTCGTCATACAAGAAAGGCTCAGGTACCTGGGAAGTCCAAGGGGGGCATCTGGTTCAAGCAAATTTCAAATAGTATCTCCAAGGCCCTGCTTCTGCCTACACATCATTGCATGTGGGAACCATAGCCAATGGCAAGCTCAAGCCTACATTTGCGGCTCCTAATCCCAGCCAGCATCCATCAATCACATTTTAAGGAGATCTCTGTCCCAGCTGGGCTCGTATGTTCATGTCAGAACCAGTCATTGCAGCCAGGGCTCTGGAACACTATGTTTGGTCTGACCCAAGTCATGAGCCCGAGGGCTGGGGTCTTTGGACCCCCACCCTTTGGCCCAACCACATAGAATAAGAAAGATGTAATTCCACAGAGAAAGGAATGATGGTACAAAATGAAGGGGAAAAGGGTGCTAAATGGTAAAAAACTGAAACATGTTTAGAGCAAGCAAGTCTCTGAAGTAGATCCTTCAGATCTACTTACGTTTTGAAATAGCGAGACTCTTATGCTGTTAGGTAGTATCGTGCTAGTAAATGTTTGAAACAAGTGGAGATCCGGAGAGAAAAAAGGATGATTTGTATCAGGTACAAACTGGTGTGGTATAAATACTCCAACAAGACCAACTTCTAGCTCCCAAGCTCACATCAGCGCCTGGAGCCGGGAAGAGGTGTGCAGTACCATGTTACTGGAAAGTATTTCTACCATGCGGTTGTGATACATGTACATTACCTCAAGACCATAGAGAATGGGAAACTAGGGTAAAACCATTAGGCAGTGACAAGGCTTGAGTGTTTACTACATTTGGTTTTATATATTTAATTGCAAGTTTATATCACATCATTTTTAATAACGGTTTTAATAACCTAGTTTGTATTGCCCAGCTCTTCTCTTTTAAATTTATACCCAACGTCACTCCTTACCTGGCGGAATTTTACGTTTTTACCTGTCTGGACTCAAAAGTCCCCCATCAAGAACTTGATTATCCAAGTTCTACTTTTGGTAGGACAAAGTGCTTTGCCCCTCTTTTCTATTTTTAAATACAAAGTATAGAGCTGTGTTCTGAATTCGTAATAATTCACTTTCTTTGGCTACCAGTTTAACTTCACTGAAATAGGAGAGAAAGTTTGTTCATAATTTATCTTCTTTTAGATTAACTTAAAAAATGCATACAAAATTTATTCCCACAGTAGATAAAACACAAACCACATCACATTAAATTAGCAATATATGGTTGTAGAGGAACAACAAAAAAAAATAAATTCACATCACCAGTTAAAACCAAGAACTCAACTAGGTATGTCAATTAAATAAAAACCAAAGCAACGTGCTGCAGAATGGCACTTCAAAATTCAAAGAAAGGTGATATAAAAGTTCAAAGACTTGCTGACAAGCAACTGCTATTCTCCTTCCAGGAAGAAGGCCAGAAAGAGGTCAGAAAGATGACATTTCACGTTTGATCTACCTCTGAGATACCTCATTCTTCAAATTATTGTGGCCCAAATGGACAGACTGGAAGGACTCAAGGAAAGAAGAGCCGACGTTGTCAAGTGAGTTGTTTATAACTAATGTGTTGGGATGAAGGGTGTGCAGTGAAACCAAATCGAGAATGAGAGGGAACTCTATTCTAGAAAGAATTCTCATCTTCCTCTTGCATCTACACGAGTTGCAAATTACACCAAATTATTTTCAAAGGCAAACAAGAAAGTGTGGGGCTTCTCCTTGTCAGTAACCAGTAATTTCCTTAGGGATAAAATTCATAAATCACTATCTTACTTTGGGAGTCAAGTGCTATTATCTGGAAGACTTGTTCTTTAAAGCAGCGGAATAACACTAAAGACAACAGAAATATTTCTCTTTAATTAATTTTCACTGTGGTCATTTTTGACCGTGATTATAGACCAATGTTTAATCCAATTTCCCTGCCAGTTGTGGGTTTGACTTTCCCTGATGTTCTGTTTATAGCTGCTGAGTGTGTTGCTTGGAAAATGATGATGAAGTTATAAAGATAGCTTTGTGACTTCACCCAAGACAAGAGGAAACAAAGAGGTGGCTCATAAATTAGAAAATCCTTTTGGAGTGCAGCTGCCCTTTTAGAAATAGGTAAAATGGCAACAAGCTGAAACAAGCTGCCCCCTTTATCACAAGGGGACAATTAGCTTGTTCAAATAAATTTGTCTGTTTCAATCTGGATGGATTATAAATACTCTTCATCTCTATTCACTCACTCAATATGTATTAAAAACCCCCATGGTTCATTAGGTCTTTATTACGAGCTATAAGAAATCAGTGGGAAATTAGGGTACTATGAAAAGGAAAAGATGACTGTTTCTGAGACCAAAAATTTATCCTTGTACATCCCAGTGCATCCTTATTTGGAAGAATGTGTCTAGATGGAAGTTGTTTTTTATTTCACAGTTCTGGGTTGTCTCAGGGATTCCACTGAAGTCTGCAAGATGTCAGTTTTGAAAACACTGTGAGGTTGAGGAAAGGGTGCCTCCCTCAAACTGGAGGTAGGGACTTTATTCCTGATGAGCTAAGAACTGGCCCTCATGATCTCTGAGCATCAGTCGGGTGCAGCCCAGACAAAGCAAGGAAAGAGAGGTGGGGCCATGTGAGGAAAGAGGACGGAGCTGTCCCTTGGTAGAGGAACTTCATATTCTATGGATTCAAGGGCAAGGGAAAAGATCTAAAAGAATGTAAGAAGTAGGGCCACATCAAACTGTGTAAGAGAGTGCAAGGAGGTGACCCAAGGTGGATCCCTGGATTCAGTTCTAGAATCTTGTTTTCTGTTCTCATAGGTCAGAGAGACCAGTGGGCAGGTGAGCTTATTTCCTTCTTTCTTCTCCTTTCTTGTTCAGGTTAGCTTAAGGAGGCCAGTCGAGGGAGGACTGTTATTGGGGCCCCTGGATCTCCAGGTCACAGGAATCAGGCAATGAGCCCATGCATGTCAGGAAGCCATTTGTACAATAGGGTCTGATTCTGTCTTAGAAAAGACATGAAGGGGCGCCTGGGTGGCTCAGTTGGTTAAGCGACTGCCTTCGGCTCAGGTCATGATCCTGGAGTCCCTGGATCGAGTCCCGCATCGGGCTCCCTGCTCGGCAGGGAGTCTGCTTCTCCCTCTGACCCTCCCCCCCCCTCATGTGCTCTCTCTCATTCTCTCTCTCTCAAATAAATAAATAAAATCTTTAAAAAAAAAAAAAGACATGAAGAAGGGGGGGGTCATGTGTAGAGGCTTTAGAATGGATGCATTTAGATACAGCAAGGTGCCATAATGAAGGTGTTGTGTGCTACCACTATGGGTTTGGTGGGTCATCTACAACCAGGCCTGCTTTAGACTTGATAACACAGCAATAAATAGGAAACAAAAGTGCATACCTATCATGCAGCCCAAGACTTTTTCATGAGTTAATAGGTGAATCCTTGACTACTGGTAGCAGAAAGGGCTAGGCTCTTGTGACCTACTGAAGTCCTTTCTCCACAGATGCTAAAGTTCACACGGATCTTCAGGTAGGCCTGTGAGGAACAAGGGACATCAGGAACCACTTCCACTCACTTCTATCAGTTCATTAATAGATTCAAAAGAAATTTCTGTGTGTCAGGCACTGTTCAAAGCACCAGAAATATAGAAGTAAACAAAATGGCAAAAATCTCTGCCCTCTGAGAGCTTCTATCTGGCAGGGGAAGAGAGACAACAAACTAAATAAATAAGTCTAGTGTAAAGATAAGCAATTAAAATCTTTTCGTTCAGGGATATGTGTACCTGTGGTAAAACCATCAAGAACAGCAAGAGACTATTAAACATAAAGTTGCTGGTTTTATAGTAAACTGAAGTGAAAGACACCATAGACCTGCCTGGAGGTCACTCGCAAGCTTTCTCAGCCCGGAGAAAGACTGGGATTGGGTTTTGATAACTGAAAAAGTCCCCCTGGTTGGAGAATTTGTGTGTGAAGGAATTGGGAATGAACTAACATCTCCGCCATCATCCGATGGTCCACCCTCTGCCCTGGACGCCCCATGATGAAGCCATGAGCCAGTCTCCCGTGGGGGTGTTCGGGGCGTGGGGGAGGCCCACGTCCTGGGGACTTTTGCTTTTGCCACCTGTTCTCTGAATTCTCACTTGAAGTCTGCCAAGTGCTCTGTGAGGTCCTTCGAACAGTTTCCCCACAGACCAACAGGGTAAAGCTGATACTTTTGTCATGTTACTTGCATCCTCTCCTTATTAGGAAAATACATCAGTCTGCTACTGGACTTTTTAAATGGATGATTTATTAGCTATTTTTCTTTATTTTTATTTTGTACTGGACCACAGCTACTCAGAATTTGATTAACATAACATGATAATCAAGAAGTTCATGATACTGGTTCATGATACTCTTAACATTGCTCCATGAATGGCCTCTTTTATTGACTTCTTTGTTGGTTGGTTTCCTTTAATAATGTCATCGGCAAGTGGGATTACATTAAAAAGCTTCTGTTCAGCAAAAGAAATAATCAACAAAACAAAATGGAAAGGCAATCTATGGAATGGGAGAAAATGTTTGCAAGCCACATATCTGAGAAGAGGTTACTATCCAAAATATATAAGGAACTCTTACAAATCAAGAGCAAATAAAGAAAAAACTAATAATCCAATTTAAAAATGAGAAAAGGCCCAAACAGACATTTTTCCAAAGAAGATATTCAGATGGCCGATAGGCACATGAAAATGTGCTCAACATCCCTGACCATCAGGGAAATACAAATCAGAACCACAATGAGATGTCAGCTTACACCTGTTAGAATGGCTGTTCTCTTTATGTTTTTTTTTATTTTTTATTGTTATGTTAATCACCATACATTACATCATTACTTTTTGATGTAGTGTTCCATGATTCATTGTTTGTGTATAACACACAGTGCTCCATGCAGAACGTGCCCTCCTTAATACCCATCACTGGGCTAACCCATCCTCCCACCCCCTCCCCTCTAGAACCCTCAGTTTGTTTTTCAGAGTCCATCATCTCTCATGGTTTGTCTAGAATGGCTGTTCTCAAAAGGACAAGAGATGACAAGTGCCAGCGAGGATGTGGAGAAAGAGGAACCATTGTGCATGGTTGGTGGGAATGTAAAATAGTGCAGCCACTGTGGAAAACAGTATGGAGGTTCCTCGAAAAATTAAAAAGAGAACTACAGAGCTACCATATGATCCCAGCAGGTCTGCTTCTTGGAATTTATCTGAAGGAAATGAAAACATTAACTTGAAAATATATCTGTACTCCCAGGTTCATTGTAGCACTATTTACAATAGTGAAGGCATGGAAACAACATAAGTGTCCATCAGTGAATGAATGGATAAAGAAGATGTGTTGTGTATATACAATGGAATATTATTCAGGCATGAGAAACAGGACATCCTGCCATTTGTGACAATACAGATGGACCTTGAAGGCATTATGCGAAATGAAATAAGCCAGACAGAGAAAGCTAAATACTGTTTGATATCACTTATGTGTGGAGTTAAAAAAAGAAAACAAATTCATAGAAACTGAGGACAGATGGGTAGTTGCCAGGGGCAGGGAGTAGAGGGCAGGGAAAATGGGCAAAGGTGGTCAAAAGGTACAAACTTTCAGTTATAAAATAAATAAATCCTGGGGATGTAATGTACAGCATGGTGACTGTAGTTAACAATACTGTGTTGTATGGAGAAAGGGGAACCCTCGTGCACTGTTGGTGGGGATGCAGACTGGTACAGCCACTGTGGAGAACAGTATGGAGGTTCCTCAAAAAGTTAAAAACAGAACTACCCTATTATTCAGCAATTTCACCACTGGGTATTTACCCAAAGAATACAAAAACACTAATTCAAAGGCATACATGCAACCCTATGTTTACAGCAGCATTATTTACAATAGTCAAGATATGGAAAAGCTCATGTCCATCAAAATGATGAATGAATAAAGAAGATATGGTGTGTGTGTGTGTGTGTGTGTACACAATGGAATATTATTCAGCCATAAAAAGAATTAAATCTTGCCATTTGCAATGGTATGGATGGAGCTAGAGAGTATAATGCTAAGCGAAATAAATCAGAGAAAAGACAAATACTATATGATCTTACTCATATGTGGAACTTAAGAAACAAAACAAATGAGTAAAGGGGGAAAAAAGAGAGAGAGACAGATCAAGAAATAGACTCTTAACTACAGAGAACAAACTGATGGTTCCCAGAAGGGAGGTGGGCTGGGGGATGGGTTAAATAGGTGATGGGGATTAAGGAGCACACCTGTTGTGATGAGCACCGGGTGTTGTATGGAAGTGTTGAATCACTATATTGTACATCTGAAACTAATAGAACACTGCATGTAAACTAACTGGGATTAAAACAAAACTTAAAATTACTGTGTTGTATATTTGAAAGTTGCTAAGAGAGTAAATCTTAAAAGTTCTCATCACAAAAAAAAAATTGTAACTCTGTGCAGTGATAGATGTCAACTAAACTTATTGTGGTCATCATTTCACAATATGTACATATCAAATCCCAATACTAGATGTTTTCTAAAAAAAAAAT